TAATAATGGCAACTGTTTCGGGCTTAATATAGCAGTTTCTTCCCATAAACAAGTACAGGGAGGGAAAGAATATGAGCAGCTCTTGGAAAAGATATATTATTGCGCTCTCAAACTTTATCAGAAGGAATGGTGATAGTCATTGGTTTGGATGACTTTAAAAGATTTAAAAGATTCATAGTATGGAAGATATAGAAGGAAGCATGTCTAATTTTCTAGATGACCCATTTTTTCCGCTCTGCAGGGCAAAATGGGCGAAGGATTTAACACTTTCCGGTCCGTTTCACTCCCTCGCTGACAAAGGATGGATATCTAGAGTGAAATGGCTCTACTTCAGTTTCTCTCCTGCATTAAAAATAATCTTGATTGTACAAATAGTAAATATGTGGGTCAAAATGCACTTTTAGAGTGAAATTGCCCATAGATAATTGATGAAGAATTCTATAGTTTTCTCCTTACTGGAGTCTTAAATTTTTGCCCTGTCTCCTCTTTGGCATTTTCCATAAATGATGTAAATCTGTTCAAAACCATTGATTCTGTTTTCAAGGCAAACCATATGAAAGAAAACAACAATGCACAGAAACTAGAACATATAATCAAGATTGTATGCAAAAATAGTGTGACACATTCAGATTTTTTGGCCTTACTGATATTACACTGTTCTGCAACCATTTGAAGTATTCATCTTCATGGATAACAACATACCTTTCCAGGAGATCTAGAACATTTTCTGAAGAACCACCTAAATGATGAAGAAAAGCATGAAATAAAATGTTTACCATTATCAAACCAATAGACACCTAATATATTGAAAGCCATTAAGCTTAAATTACAATGAAAAAGTCATTGATATAACTTAATTAATTAAAATGGGAATAAAGTATAACTGTGTTTTTTTCTTGCTTTGCAATCAGTATATTTGCTGGATATGTAACAGCAAAAAGGTTTTAAGGGTGCTAGTATGATCCCCATATTTATGGAACTGATATACATGGCTTCATTTATCCACAGTTTCATATTCACCTATTTACTGAGAACCTCCTGTACAAACTATACCTTCTTCTCAGTACCTGTATAGTTAATGCCACCAAAATAATAGTGGTCACTTTAGGATCAGATTATCTTTGACTCAGTTGGCACAACATCTCCAGGCCCTGTATGAACAGAGTACCCAATGTTGATGAACATTCATATGCTGTGGTACTCTGTATTTCATTTAGTACTTGTTATTTTTATGTATTTTTATCCCTGCACTTTTAGAATAGCTCAGACATGTGCCTAAGGTGGGGAATATTTTGAAACTGCTTCAGAGCCCCAGCCATCTAAATCAAGCCTTGCAGGCAGAGGCGGTTCAACACGGCACGCAAATTACGCTTTTGCGTATAGCGCGCGCCTCGGGGGGGGGCGCTCTTGAGGAGCTCTTGAGGTGCCCCTGCCCCAAGGAATACCAAGAGGCAGCTCGCTCTCCCTCCCTCCTTCCCTCACAAGTGCCCATTGGGCCTCTCCTCCTCCTCACAGGGCAAAGGAGACAAAAACACCAGTGTGAGTCCCTCTCCAGGTGTTAGGAAGTGCGCGGAGAAGGAGGGGCGATGCAGGGCGCGCACTTCCTAATGCTGGGAAAGGGATGTGCAGCAGTGTTGCCGGGCACGTGGGAAAAGAGGCATGCACAAGGTCTCTTTTCCCGCATGCCCAGCAACGCCGCTGCGCGTCCCTGTCCCGGCGTTAGGAAGTGCATGCCCTGAATTGCCCCTCCTTCTCCACACACTTCTTAACACTGGGAGAAGGACGCACGCTGGCGTTTTTGTCTCCCTTGGCCTGCGGGACTTGCCACGCGCACCTCCCATTGGGCCGAGCCCTGCTGGCCCTGCTCCCTTTCGCCCTGTGAGTCTCCAGATATAAGTAGAACGTGCTCGGACCCAAAATAGCCGTGGCGGGACTTTGCCTTTCGCACAGCTCTCAGGCCGGGATGACAAGGGCTAGCTCTTTCAGGGCCGAATTTCCCTTCTGAGTGGTCAATTTCTCTCACTTCCTGCTGTCTCATCCCTGTTCTTAACTAGGAATTGGATGTTTGGGACTGCCTCTGGTCTTTTTTAATGGGTGGGTTGTTGATTTGATCTTTGAGATGTGAAATAAGAAGGATTTGGGCAGTGATGGCCCTTTTGCAATTGGCTGGTCACTATCTGAAACCATAGTGTTTTTTGAATGGATTGGAATATTGGGTTGCTGTGAGTTTGGCCATGTTCTAGAAGCATTCTCTCCTGACGTTTCGCCCATATCTTTGGCAGGCATCCTCAGAGATTGTGAGTTCTGTTGGAAACTAGGCAAGTGAGGTTTACATATCTGTGGAATAACTACCAGATACTGTTTACCCACAAACATCAAGAAATTACATATATTAGAAACCAACTTTCTCATTACTTTCTTTTCAAGATCACCAGACTGGATCACAGCAACGCGTGTCAGGGGACAGCTAGTGTGTGTGTGTGTGTGTGTGTGTGTGTGTGTGTGTGTGTGTGTATATATATATATATATATATATGGATGGCATAGGACAACTTCAGCCCTCCATGTGTTTTGGACTTCTCCTACAATTCCAAAAAGCCAGTAGGAAGTCCCAAATACCTGGACGGCCAAAATTTGTCCATGCTCATATATATACACACACACACACAAACACATACATACACATACATATATATATACACATGCCCCTATATATATATGCTTTGGGGGGGGGGCAGCACCAAAATACTGTTTCCTTACCATTGAAAATTACCTAGGGCCGCCTCTGCTTGCAGGGAAGGACAAAGACTTTGTAACATAGCAGAATATACAGGACTAAGAAAAGACACTACCTGATTTGTTTACAAGTACAGTTTGACTCCTTATTGCACTTATCTTTTTGCTAAACAAATCTTTTATTCCTCAAAGCTATAAAGAAAGTATAAAAATTAATAGTGCAAAAAGAAGACACGCTAGGTTTCTCTGAATTGCATTCAGGTGAACTATAATCCCCAAGGGCAAGCAGGGTTCAGATGACTTTTTGCTTCTCAACACTACTATCCAATACTGGGTCTTCTAATGTTCAATGGGCTGCATAACTCATGAAAGAACACAGAACTATAGATGTTCAGAATCAAGGCAATATCCATCATCACAGAATGTGACAAAACAACAGTGAGAAACAGTAAAGTCAAGGGGAACAAAGTTCAGGAAGAGGCTTTCCATCCATCATATATAACAGGAATATTGTGCTGCATCAAAGTTGAATATACCTCTGGGTATATTGAATACACTTAAGTAAGTAGGAGAGATGGAAAGGACATCCAAAAAATAATAGCCATTCTGAAATATGTATAGTTATTTGCACTTTAAGTCCTATATGTGATAAATAGAAGACTGCTTGTCTAAGGTGTCATTTTTTAAAACTACCAAGTACATTATTTCATTGCTGGTAATGCCTATATTTTATATATATAAATATATATATATTCTTTATTTCAAATACTTGTACCCTACCCTTCTCTACCCCCGAATGGGGACTCAGGGCGGCTTACAGCCAGCAACAATTTGATGCCCTCTGTATACAAAAAGGTAAAACAACATAATAAGTAAAGCATTAAAATTGGATTAAAAACCATTTAAAATAGTGCAAATTGAATTAGTTGGCCATGTCTAAGTCTGAGTTCTACGATCAAAACTTGACCTGAAACCTGTCCATTTTCCATAGCATTGTTGTGATTTTATTGTCAACCTACTATCTGGGCCAGAACCGTATTTTTAAAATTTTAACTATTACATCTGGCCTGGCCATAGGTTTTTAAATCGCTGCGTGTTATTGACTATATGTAAGTTATATTAATTGTATTGTTTTATTTGCTTATTGCTTTGTTGTTTTTACTGATGTGTTGTTGGGCTTGGCCTCATGTAAGCCGCTCCGAGTCCCCTTGGGGAGATGGTGCTGGGGTATAAATAAAGTATTATTATTATTATTATTATTATTATTATTATTATTATCTGAATGCCTATTCGAATGCCTGGTACCATAGCCACGTCTTCAACTTTTTCTTGAAGGAAAGGAGGGAAGCCGTTGACCTAATTTCGCTGGGGAGCGAATTTCACAGGCAGAGGGCCACCACCGAGAAGGCCCTGTCTCTCGTCCCCACCAAGCACATTTGTGACAAAGGTGGGATTGAGAGCAGGGCCTCCCCGGAAGATTGTAAATTTTGGGTGGGACATAGGGGGAGTTAATAAAAATCACAGAACATACAAAGTAAAAACAACATAACCATAAGATTAACAAAACAAAATATAAGCATAAAAATTGTCACCATAACACACATATATTAAAAGTAATCCTGCCTGTTCAAGGCAATTTTTAAAAAATTAAAAGGCCGGACCAAGATTTGTGCAAGACCAAAAATTCTAGGGGTCCCGGAAATTAAATACAATGCTATGGCAGGCAACAATCATATTAGGTACGGGTCTGTGGCTGTTCATTCCAGGGCCGAATAGAGGAAATGATCTGGGTAATTGATAGGAAGGATAAGGCCGTATTCAACAATGTATAGGGCTGAGTTAGAACTGGCCATTTTCAAAGGCATGTTGAAACCACCAGGTCTTCAAACTCTTACGAAAGGAGGGGAGGGATGGGGCCTGTCTTATTTCCCTTGGAAGGGAGTTCAAGAGGCAGGGGGCCACCACTGAGAAGGCCCTCTCTCTCATCCCCGCCAACTGCGCTTGAGACGGTAGTGGGACCGAGAGGAGGGCCTCCCCGGAAGATCTTAGAGTTTGCGCCGGTTCATAGAAGGAGATGCGATCGCAGAGATAGGTGGGGCCCGAACCATTCGGACAAGTAAGCTGGGCCAGAACTGTAAAGCCTAGCTCAGTCAGTTTATCTGTCATTTGGAAGAGTGAGAAGAATACTCACCACTGTTATGCTGCTTAAAAAAAAAACTGGGTTGTTGAAATTATTTAATGTCTTGATTATGAAGAAAACACACTGTAAGTACTATGCTCACTTATCCATTTGGACATCGTTTATAACATCTTTGTTGTGAACAAATCATGCATTGTGTGCAATAAGATTTTTTTTCAAAATGTTTGTGACCAGAAGTTTTTTGTCTGCAAATATTCAGATGTTTAATTGTTTTGCTCAGATCTCAAAGAGTTATTGTTTGGAGTACAAATTGGCTGGAGGGGAGTGGGATTGTAATTTTAATTTTAAAAATTGTAATTGTAATTTTTCTAAGTTCTATAGTTCCCTAAAAACATAGGAAGTTATGTTATGGTGAGCCACTCTATTACCCATCTATTCACACCAGGAAGAGAGATCATCATCTGGCTCTTCAGATATGATTGGGCTTTGATTAAAGCAGCTCAGCAACATTTGGAGGGGCACATCTGGCCTGCAATCAACTGAAAAAAATGACCAGACAGGAACAATCTCAGCTATACTTGAACATGCCAGGGGTTGAACCAACCACTTTTTTTTTTTGCATGCAAAACCTGTATTCTATCACAGAACCACTTTCCTGTTTCACAAACAGAATCTGCTGATCAGTATGGTATTGAGCAGGGTCCTCAAACTTTTTAAACAGAGGGCCAGGTCACAGTCTCTCAAACTGTTGGAGGGCTGGATTATAATTTGAAAAAAGAAACATGAATTCCTATGCACACTGCACATATCTTATTTGCAGTGCAAAAACACTTTAAAACAATATAATAATTAAAATGAAGAACAGTTTTAACAAATATAAACTTGTTAGTATTTCAATGGGAAGCGTGGTCCTGCTTTGGCTGATGGGATAGGATGCGACGGCAAAAAAGCCAATGGGATTTTGGCCTGCATAAATAGGAGTATAGTGTCTAGTTCCAGGGAAGTCATTCCCACCCTCTATTCTGCCTTGGTTAGACCACACCTCGAATATTGTGTCCAATTCTGGGCACAACAATTGAAGAGAGATATTGTCAAGCCGGAATGTGTCCAGAGGAGGGAGACTAAAATGATCAAGGGTCTGGAAAACAAGCCCTGTGGGGAGCGGCTTAAAGAGTTGGGCATGTTTATCCTGAAGAAGAGAAGTCTGAGAGGAGACATGATAGCCATGTATAAATACGTGAGAGGAAGGAGGGAACGAACTTGTTTTCTTCTGCCCTGGAGACAAGGACGCAGAACAATGGCTTCAAACTACAAGAAAGGAGATTCCATCTGAACATTTGGAAGAACTTCCTGTCTGTGAGAGTTGTTCAGCAGTGGAACTCTCTGCTCCGTAGTGTGGTAGGGGCTCCTTCTTTGGAAACTTTTCAACAGAGGCTGGATGGTTATCTGTCAGGGGTGCTTTGAATGCAATTTTCCTGCTTCTTGGCAGGGGGTTGGACTGGATGGCCCATGAGGTCTCTTTCAACTCTATGATTCTGTTGTTGCTGTTGTGTGCTTTCAACCTTAGTTTGAGGACCCCTGCTATTGACTATGTTTCTGATCTCAACCTGTCAAAGTTTCTATGAGTGCTTAACGGAGATGCACGAGTACTAGTGGGGATACCATTTTTAGAAAGGTTTTGGTAATCTCGGTGATTGCAGCGGTTTCTTCTGTGCAGCTGTAGATAAATTGACTCCGTCCATCCCCTGAAAGCAAAGGTAACAAAACAGTGTGTAAATATCAGGTTAAGAACAGAAAAGTTGCCACCACTGTCTCCTTTTTCTTGTGTTTTTGCTGCTGTTGCTACAACAAGTTTCAAACATCAGTTTCAGAAAACCCATGAGGTACACGAAGCATATAAATAAATGGGGAGAAATTGTTAATTTATTGTTGAAGGCTTTTATGGTTGGAATCACTGGGTTGTTGTAGGTTTTTTGGGCTCTATGGCCATGTTATGGCTTTATGGCCACCTGCATCTAAGGCAAGCATCCTCAGAGGTTGTGAGGTCTGATGATGCTTGCCATAGACCTCACAACCTCTGAGGATACTCGCCATAGATGCAGGCGAAACGTCAGGATAGAACATGGCCATATAGCCCGAAAAACCTACAACAACCCAATTGTTAATTTTTTATTTTTGGACTGGTGAGGAAGGAAAGGAAAGCACACAATGGACATCTCATCCCCCTCCCCAGTGTAAGAAGCGCTTTGGACATTACACAAGTATTAATGGGTTCTGAAACCAAAAGATGGGTCCCAATTGTTGTTCATTCGTTCAGTCGTCTCCGACTCTTCGTGACCTCATGGACCAGCCCACGCCAGAGCTCCCTGTCGGCCGTCACCACCCCCAGCTCCTTCAAGGTCAGTCCAGTCACTTCAAGGATGCCATCCATCCATCTTGCCCTTGGTCAGCCCCTCTTCCTTTTGCCTTCCACTTTCCCCATCATAATTGTCTTCTCTAGGCTTTCCTGTCTCCTCATGATGTGGCCAAAGTACTTCACTTTTGTCTCTAGTATCTTTCCCTCCAGTGAGCAGTCGGGCTTTATTTCCTGGAGTATGGACTGGTTGGATCTTCTCACAGTCCAAGGCACTCTCAGAACTTTCCTCCAACACCACAGCTCAAAAGCATCGATCTTCCTTCGCTCAGCCTTCCCTAAGGTCCAGCTCTCACATCCGTAGGTTACTACAGGGAATACCATGGCTTTGACTAGGCTGATCTTTGTTGCCAGTGTGATGTCTCTACTCTTTACTATTTTATCGAGATTGGACATTGCTCTCCTCCCAAGAAGTAAGCGTCTTCTGATTTCCTGGCCACAGTCTGCATCTGCAGTAATCTTTGCACCTAGAAATACAAAGTCTGTCACGGCCTCCACATTTTCTCCCTCTAAAAAAACAAAAAAACAAACCAAGATTATGGGTCCCAATAATTCCTTATAAATTATTGACCATCTATAATTTGCCAATGAGTCAAGCACTGATATTGATGGCATTGTGCAGTAATTTCCGCAATCACTGAGAAAGCTGTCACTCGAGTTAAAAAATAGTTTGATAATCTTATAAGGCAGCAACAGAATTGGTGTAAAGCAGCCTCACAAGGCTTTGAATGTAAGATTTAATAATATAATAATAACAACTTTATTTTTATACCCTGCCAACCATCTCCCTTGGGGGACTCAGGGCAGCTTATAAGGGACAATGAAGCAGAAAGCGTTTGAGGATTGGGACATCCGTAGGGATACCAAGTTGCTTGTTTATAAAGCTATTGTCCTCTCAACCCTGCTATGTGCCTGCGAAACATGGACTGTCTACAGACGTCACATGCAACTCTTGGAATGATTCCATCACCGCTGCCTCCAGAAAATCCTGCAAATCTCTTGGGAAGGCAGGCGGACAAACATCAGCATGCTGGAAGAAGCAAAGACCACCAGCATTGAAGCGATGGTCCTCTGCCATCAACTCCACTGGACCAGCCATGTTGTCTGGATGCCCGACCACCATCTCCCAAAGCAGTTGCTCTACTCTGAACTCAAGAACGGAAAACGGAACGTTGGTGGACAGGAAAAGAGATTTAAAGATGGGCTCAAAGCCAACCTTAAAAACTCTGGCATAAACACTGAGAACTGGGAAGCCCTGGCCCTTGAGCGCTCCAGCTGGAGGTCAGCTGTGACCAGCAGTGCTGCAGAATTTGAAGAGGCACAAATGGAGGGTGAAAGAGAGAAACATGCCAAGAGGAAGGTGCGTCAAGCCAAACCCGACCGAGACCACCTTCCACCTGGAAGCCAATGCCCTCACTGCGGGAGAACATGCAGGTCAAGAATAGGGCTCCATAGTCACAAGAATACTGATCCTGGAAGACTATCCTACTCGGCCAACGAGGGATCGCCTAAATAAGTAAGTAAAGTAAGTAATAGGGGACAAGCCCAAAAATTACAATTAAAACACAGAAATAAAACACATCAATTAAAAACATTGTCCAGAAATCAGAAACCCAAGTGATATTGCCATAGAGTGGGTAAGGGGTCGATGTGGATGATGCATGCATGGGGTGACGGTTTACCCAGCTGCCTGCTGAATCCCCCTGCTATCGCCCACTCTTTGGACCTCTATGTGATGAGGTCCATAAAAAGGATGTTATTTCAGAATAAGGAAAGTGCAAGGAGGTATTCAATAGCAAAATTAAATAAATGGAAAATAATTAAATTGACATTAAATTATCAAGATAAGCCTCTGCAGCTACATGAAGCACAACTAATTAAAGCAGATATACTTTGTCTTGAGCAGTACTTGTAGCAATGTGTGGAAGGGCTGGATCACAAAGATATTTGACTAATATTGAGTTCTAATTTGTAAGAGCTAAACCAGATGTGATACCTGTTATAATAATAATAATAAAATAATAATAATAATAATAATAATAATGCCATCAAGGCCAGAATTGAAAGGTTGACGACATATCCGAAATGTAGACTCTGCAAGGAAGCAGATGAAACAATAGATCACATCCTCAGCTGCTTCAAGAAGATCGCACAGACAGACTACAAGCAGAGGTATCACACCGTTGCTCAGATGATTCATTGGAACTTGTGCCACAAATACCATCTGCCTGAGACAAAGAACTAGTGGGATCACAAGCCGGAAAAAGTTACAGAGAATGTACACGTCAAGCTACTCTGGGACTTCCGAATTCAGACAGACAGAGTTTCGGAGCACAATACTCCTGACCTCACGATTGTGTTAAAAAACAAGGTATAGATCGTCGATGCTGCAATCCCAGGTGACAGCAGGATTGAAGAGAAACAATTGGAAAAGCTGACACGATATGAGGATTTAAAGATCAAACTGCAAAGACTCTGGCACAAGCCAGTAAAGGTGGTCCCAGTGGTGATCGGCAACTGGGTGCAGTGCCTAAATACCTTGGCCTGCACTTAAACACAATTGGCGTTGACAAAATTACCATCTGCCAACTGCAGAAGGCCACCTTACTGGGATCTGGACACATTATTCGCTGATACACCACACAGTCCTAGACACTTGGGAAGTGTCTGACATGTGATCTAATACAACAGCCAGGAGTGTCTGCTGTGGACTCATCTTGTTGTGTTTCAAATAATAATAATACTTTATTTTTATTCCGCCCTATCTCCCCAAGGGGACTTAGGGAGGATCACAATACACACACACAGCAATCATGCAATGCCAATTGGATAGACAAGGACAGAGCAGACAGAAAGGAGGCATGTTGTGTTGACATCTGTGCTTTGGAAGATTGTGCTCAAAATCCAACCACAAAGGGGTGCTGTCGCTCCATCCTCTATGACAAAGAGCCATCAGGACTTCCTCCTTCCTTTTTGGTTACTGGCATTTTCTGGTCTTTTTCTTTTTATGGTATTGTAAAATACATCCCCCGCTTGATTTAGCGGTACCTAATTTCTCTAATTACAGCACAAGCTATTTTTGAACTGCTTAGGTCAACAGTAAGCTTGATATTTGGCAGCTCATGCCAACCTGGGGCTTTGAACTAGCAACCTTTTGGTTGTTAGATGTTATCATTGCTGGTGATTTTACCAGCTGTGCTAAACCCTGTCCCATGTTACCAGATGTGCTTAACCCCTAACTATTAACACATTAGGCAGAGGACCCTGATCTTCATTGGGATCCTAATAAGTTAAAAGGAATTTTTATTTCCCTCCGCTATAGTCATAGGACTTCATCAGACAGATATGTAGAAGGGGGCTTATACTACACTCTGTCACAGATTAAGATGAGAAATTAAGGGGATGTGTGCTTTCTGTAGTTAAATAACCTGAGCCTAAAATTAAGTAATTATTGAGAAAGAGGAAGAAGAAAACCTGGCCTGCAATGAAACCACGGGTGGCAGCGGGGATGAACATTGCTCACAGTTAATGCATCCGTTAATTTCACATGAATCCTTTCATAATTCCATCCATTTTATTTTCTGCAATACTATGTGGCTTTCCTGAATTCACACAAAGCAATATAAGAATATGTATCTTTTTTTCATAAGAGGTGCATCTCTAAATGCATTCTTTTCTTAAAACATGCATTTTGGTATATTCGAGGAGCTGAGAAATAGTACATCATAAATTTCAGAAAAATGTGCAATTAAAAAGATAAATGCATTCTGATCTACATGTCAATAAGATGTGAATGAGAAACCTAACACTTTGCTTATCATTTACTTTAAACGTGGCGGCTCATAATTGCTGGAAAACATTAGGAAACTTAACCATTTTAAAAGACCATAGCAAGATGATTCATAGCAACATTTCAGTACTTTAGCTGAAATCTACAGCGATCTCTATCATTCTTCATACATTGAGACTTGAGGTTTTAGTTGCTGTTTGCTTACCCAATGGTGGAGTTGAGAAATCCAGTGGCTTCTGAGAACTGAGGCCAGTCAAGCTCGTTGGTTAATGCCTCAGGAAGGTTGGAAAATGCTTTCTGGAAAGGAGGTGAAGAAATCAGTGTGGTTTTGCCTTCTTCTCATAGTAAACTTGAGTAATGAATTTGCTAGTTATCTGCTAGTATGAAAAAAATGAAGGGACATTATAGTAGTTGAAAATATTGTTACTAATTTTAACCAAATTGAATACCTGTATTATGAATTTTCAGTAATTACACATCAGGCATCAGTTTAATTGGAAAATATAAATGTATATATTGAGGTGCTGGTAGTAACTCACTGTACTATTTCTCTGTGGCTTTATTGCTGGAGATCAGGTGGATCTTAGTGCCATTTCAGTTATCTCATATTTTGACATAACCAAATTTCAAAAGAAGAACAACCAGCCAACAAATAATAATAATAATAATAATAATAATAATAATAATCTTTATTAGTACCCCGCTATCATCTCCCCAAGGGACTCGGTGAAACAAAAAGGCTGGTGCTATATTAATATTATTTCCATGAACCGTATGCCATAGAAGACTCAGGTTTCTGCATTAATGAGGCGCACCCCCTGACATCCGCCGGGAAGTGGCAGCCAATAGTGAAAGGACCAAGGCAGAGACATCTCCAGCTCATCCCCTGTTTGGGTACCAGCCAGCACGTCAACGACTTAAATCCAGACATCGTTTTCTAAGATCTACAGAGACACTCGCTGGAACACCTCAGCAAGCAAGAGTCCAAAAGTGGCAGGCTCAAACCCAGAACCTCAACCAATGGCTGATACCAAATGAGAAACTCCCCCCTGGGCACACAGAGGACTGGGCGACTTGGAAGGCGCTGAACAGACTGCACTCTGGCACCACAAGATGCAGAGCCACCTTCAGAAATGGGGCTACAAAGTGGAATCCTCAACATGCGAGTGCGGAGAGGAGCAGACCACTGACCACCTGCTGCAATGCAGCCTGAGCCCAGCCACATGCACAATAGAGGACTTTCTTGCGGCGGCACCAGAGGCGCTCCAAGTGGCCAGATACTGGTCAAAGGACATTTAATCAACTACGAAACTCACACATTTTGTATTTTCTCTGTTTGTTTGCTTTGTTCTGTTAGAAATGTAATATAATTGACTGGCTGCCCTGACACGAGAAATAAAATAAATCAATTAATGAGGTAAACTCTGATAAAGATTTACATGAGACCAGTGGTTCTCAACCTGAGGTCCCCAGATGTTTTTGGCCTTCAACTCCCAGAAATTCTATCAGCTGGTAAACTGCTGGGATTTCTGGGAGTTGTAGACCAAAAACCACTGCATTAGACAATCTTAGAAATACTCTTGATGCAACCAAGGACAACAACAACAACAACAGCACTGACATCAATATGGAGTTTGGCCTAGACAAATGTGCCACAGTGGCATTAAAGAAAGGGAAAATTACTCACAGCAAGGGCATAGAGATGCCAAATGGACAAACCATAAAATGCAATCAGCCTGAAGCCTATAAATATCTGGGCACACTACAGTTGGACAATATCAAGCATGGGCATGTGAAAAATGTGGTCAGCAAAGAATATATCCAAAGAGTCAGAAAAGTTTTGAAGAGCAAATTAAATGGCGGAAATACGATCAAGGCTATCAACACCTGGGCCATCCCCATCATTAGATACACTTCTGGAATTGTGAACTGGACGTAAGCAGAGCTGGATGATCTGGACAGAAAAACAAGAAACTGATGACAATCCACTACTCATTACACCTGGGTAGTGATGTCAACAGACTTTACCTGTCCAGAAAATCAAAGGACTTCTGCAAGTGAAACAAACGGTAGAAGAAGAGAAACATGCACTGGCAGATTATGTAAAAGGCAATCAAGAACCAACATTGAGGGAAGTCAATAGTAGTAAACTACTTAAAGTGCAAAAGACAAAAAGTGAATACAGTAAAAACACAATGCAGAGCAGAATAGAAAACTGGCAAAAGAAGGCTCCCAATGGAGAGTTCCTGGGAAAAACTGAGAGCCAAATTGACAAAGAGAAAACATGGATGTGGCTCGCAAATGCTTTGAAAAAGGAGACAGAGGGCCTGATTCTGGCAGCCCAAGAACAGGCCTTTAGAACCAATGCCATCAAAGCCAGAATTGGAGCACAATACTCCTGACCTCACGATCATGTTAAAAAACAAAGTGGGGATTGTTGATGTTGCAATCCCAGATGACAGCAGGATTGAAGAGAAACAACTGGAAAAGCTGACACGATATCGAACTGCAAAGATTCTGGCACAAGCCAGTCAAGGTGGTCCCAGTGTTGATCAGCACACTGGGTGCAGTGCCTAAAGACCTTGTCCTGCACTTAAACACAATCAGTGCTGACAAAATTACCATCTGTCAGCTGCAAAAGGCCACCTTAGCGGGATCTGCATGCATTATTCACCAATACATCACACAGTCCTAGACACTTGGGAAGTGTCCGACGTGTGATCTAATACAACAGCTAGCAGAATGTCTGCTGTGGACTTATCTGGTTGTGTTTCAAATAATAATAAATGTATTATCTGCCTCTCCATGCAGCTCGAAGGAGGATACAACATTATTAAAACAAGAGATAAAACATGATGAAAAGACATACAATTACGTACACAAAATACAAATTAAAATTCACTGATAACATAAAATCATAGAGTTGGAAGAGACCTCATGGGCCATCCAGTCCAAGCCCCTGCTAAGAACCAGGAAAATTACATTCAAAGCACCCAATTCACAACTTAAAATTGTGCCTGCGGGAAGAGATGGGCCTTCAGTTGTATCTAGCTGCTGATCTTGCTGTCAAATCTTTTCCAGCAAGTCATTCCACAGTCCACTTGATACAGCAATTCTGTTGACACAGAGCAGGTCTGACACAGACTACTATATGGATATCTAATTTTATGTATGCTGTCTTGCATTCCAACTTGGGAAAATTTAAATCAATACATAAATAATAAGCTCTGACTTCAGCATCAATACTTTGTGCATTCTAAGCCTGAGGCTTGTCATTTAAAGCAAATTTCAGGATGAATCTGATATGAGTCGCAGATCTGTGCCAATTCGAAGACTGGCTGAGACATCGTGCTGTGTAATGCAGAAGACAAGCCTATCTCATGCCATATTTATAAGCTCAGAAGACTGAAAGGTAAATCTCATTTTGACAGTGATGACATGTCGGCATCTCTGCCCTCCCACATCTTTGCATCCTCACCCTAAATTCCTTCCTGAAGCAGCTGCCTCACTCTGCTAGATAGAAGGGCTGGCCCTGTGTTTTTCATGACTGCAGAGTGAAAAGCTGTAGAAGAGTCTTTGAGGTCATGTAGAGTCTTTGAGATCAGGGCACGTAGCCCCAAAGCATGGCATGAAAATACCACTTGAAAATGCAGCAAAAAGGATTATATACTAAAAATGTGTGCATAGAACTTGGGCAAGGTGGTCACGAAAGCTTTGTAAAAGACATGCTGACACAATCTAAGTGCTAGCTTGAACACATCACTTTCATGCTCCATTGTTCTTGGATGTCATCATCATCAGTTTTGTTAGCATATTTATTAGGCATGCTAATCTTAATTGTTCTTGAATCTGATTTATTATATTCATCACCTGTTCTTTCATGAATGTCATTTCTATAATAATTTCCCATAAAGCATTGACAAAGAAAAACAACTGCTAATCTGGAATATTTAAATTTTGTGGGCTCTCTAAATGAAATTTGAAAACAATGCTGATTTTATGCAGCAAAAGAAGCACCAACTAAAGTACAAAATAGTAGTCATGGTTGCTGTTGTGCTAAGCTTTCAGCCCTGAGAATAAACTGCATATTATCACATACTTTCTCTCACAAATTGCCAGTACAGATGATTTAGGACCTCATCAGATAGGCTAAATTGCCTGTCCTATGATGTTCCTTCTATACTTGAGCCACAAAACCTGAAGGCTCCCATCCCACAATGTTAAACTACTTCTGCTGGGCCTTCATGGTACAAGTAGAGTAGGAATGTTGTACACTGCTGTTGCTGCAACATGGGAGGCTTTCCGTGTTGCATAGTCAACAATGTGGGGAAGCCGGGTGGCGGATGCTTCCCCTCATAGGATGAGATAAAGGAGAAGCTGGGTGATGTGGGGCATGGGGCGATGGGTTCCCCACACCCCACATAAGATTCTCCATGAGGCGTGGTGAATCCCATAAGTAATGTGTTTCCTATATTGTATTTGGCCAGGACTTTGCTTAGCTTTGCTAGCCAATTTAGGACCATAATAATAATAATAATAATAATAATAATAATAATAATAATAATACCAGGATTGAAAAATCAGTTGATGACCCAAAATGCAGACTGTGCAAGGAAGCTGATGAAACCATGGACCATATCCTCAGTTGTTGCAAGAAAATTACACAGACGGACTACAAACAGAGGCACAACTGGAACATGGATTCACTGGAACATGTCACACCTGCCAGCAGTAAAGAATTAGTGGGATCATAAACCTGTAAAGGTCATGGAAAATGAACATGCAAAAATACTGTGGGACTTTCGAATCCAGACTGACAAATTTTTGGAACACAATACACCAGACATCACGATTGTGGAAAATAAAAAAGTCTGGATTATTGATGTCACCATACCAGGTGACAGTCGCAGTGAGGAAAAACTCAGCCGCTATCAAGACTTAAAAATTGAACTGCAAAGGCTCTGGCAGCCTTTTTATGGCTGGAAACCAGGCTGAGTCCCTCAATGAGGTTGAGAAGCTCGGTATAGAAAACTGTGAAATAAATAAATAATAATAAATAATAAATAAACCAGTACAGGTGGTCCCAGTGGTCATTGGCGTACTGGGTGCCATGCCAAAAGATCTCAGCCAGCATTTGGAAACAATAAACATCGACAAAATCACGATCTGTCAACTGCAAAAGGCCACCTTACTTGGATCTGTGAGCATCATTCGAAAATACATCACACAGTCTGAGACGCTTGGGAAGTGTTCGACTTGTGATTTTGTGATACGAAATCCGGAATATAGATCTCGTTTGCTGTGACATACTGTGCTTTTGTGTCAGTAAAATAATAATAATAATAATAATAATAATAATAATAATAATAATCTTTATTTATATCCCACCACCATCTCCCCAAATGGGAATCAGGGCAGCTCACATGAGACCAAGCCCAAAAATACAATACAATAAGATGAAATACAAAACAACAGAAAAATTACATCAGAACAAAATAGATAAAATCACAAAATAAAATAAAATAAAAAAATAAAATGAACAATGCAACATTACATAATAAAAGTCAAACAAATGGGGTGGGCCGAATACACAGATAGAATAATAAAATCCTAGATGAGATAGAAATAGAAAAAGTGCCTTTGTGAGGGAAGAGGGAAGAGCCCGAGAAGGAGGAACAAAAGGGCAAGCCTACATAAGGTGAAAGTGCGTCATGAGGACAACTGAAGATGGAAACAAACAAAATGGGTTAAATGGTCACTCTCCAAAGGCACATCGGAAAAGCCAAGTTTTAAGATCTTTCTTAAAGACTGATAGTGTGGGGCTTTGAGTTAAAATTCTTAATCTGTAGAAACACATGCAGACTTGTTCTAGAGCAGGGGTTCCCAAACTAGGGCCTGGGGATCGGATATGGCCCTCCAAGGTCATTTACCCGGCCCTCGCTCAGGGTCAACCTAAGTCTGAAATGACTTGAAAGCACACAACGACAACAATCCTATCTCATCAGCCAAAAGCAGGCCCACATTTCCCATTGAAATACTAATAAGTTTATATTTGTTAAAATTGTTCATTTTAATTGTTGTATTGTTTTAAGTGGTTTTTTTGCACTACAAATAAGATATGTGCAGTGTGCATATGAATTCATCCATGTCTTTATCAAATTATAATCCAGCCTTCCAACAGTTTGAGGGACTGTGACCTGGTCCTCTCTTTAAAAAGTTCGAGGACCCCTGTTCTAGAGCATGACCAATGGGGTATGTGACAGATCTCTACTCCAGGTTGTCCCTGCAGTCTTTATGCTCTTACCACTCACCTTGTCCTTTTATTCTTACTCTCTGGATCTAATACTCACACTCTATGAACAGTTTGCAGCATGAAACTATGATTTATTTATATAGAAAAAAAGTTTCACAGTTGAGAAAGCCTTCTGATCTGTCACCTCTTGTCTCCCTCTTACTTACTTGGCTGCAGTGAGGCCCTTCAGGTTTCTAAAATCAGAGATCAGTCTCAGAGATCAGAGACTGAGATCAATCCTAGTGTCCAAACCAGAAAACTTTGATTAAAAGACTCTCTCTAGGCCAGGATGTCAATATGTCCTCTGCTTCTGGTTCTATTGCCAGGAGTCTTCTTCAAAAATCAAGCCCTTATCTAGCCTTCCTATCCTAATGATGGGCTTGGAATACAAAATACTGGTATTACCAGCAATGCGAAACAACCCTACTCCAATCAGCTAAGTAGAAAAGGAAGAGACACAGGAGCAGCTCTTGACATCGGTACTACCAAGCCGTTCCACAAATCATTTTCTTTTTAAAATAAAATGTTTTGTTCTCTTCAGTCTATTAATATACACCGAATATCTCTCATAATGGATTGTAATAAAGCATCATTATCGTGGTAACTTCCTCAAGAAGAAGTGATGATTCCCAGAAAAATAAATGGCATTTCTGCATTTATTCTCATGGGCATATTTCATCACAGAAAATAAATTGTCAGATAGTTAGCTGGCACCATACTGTAGCAATGAGCAAAATGGCATACCCTTGACATCAGTGAAGCTGTCACCCATTCAGGAGGGATATGAAAGTGGGCTGCAGCTGAATCTCCCAGAATAATGACTCCTTTGGACTCTGTGCCTGAGGGAGGAACTTTGTTAATAATTTCAGAACTCTCATTGACTTTTCTCATGATGCAAAGTTGTTATGGCTGGAAAAACAGCTACATTAAAATCCATGCAACAGCATTAGTACAAAAAGAGCATTCAAAATAATGAACTGGCCATTTGTGTTCATTTCAAACATGGCATACAGTTTCTCATTTCATAGAAGCATAGAGCTGGAATAGGCCACACTGGCCATCCAGTCCAACCTCTGCCATGCAGGAAAAACACAATCATAGCTGTGATGTCTTGGCCTAGCTTTTCCCCCTTCTCTGTTTCATTTCCTTGTTTTGCTCTTCCTTTGGTGTGGGCTTTTCCATTTGCGCTTAGTTTTAGGGGTGGAGCTTAAAACCCCCTAGAGGACTGGCTCAGTGTTTTAGCCTGTTGTCTCAGAACTAGTCTGAAAGGCTTTCCCCTGCTTTTTAGTCTGTGCCAGAGCTTTAGAGAAGAAGGCCAGAAATTGCCTGGGTTCCTTGGCCTGGGGTAAAGAACCCTTACTTTTAGCAGCCAGAATGTGGGCCTAGCGAAGCCCTGGCGGCCATCTTAGGATAGGGAAACAGGGAGACGTCATCTTACGTCAGGTTTTCTTGGGGGGGGGGGGTGTCCTAGTCCAGTAAGCAAAGAGTAGATGGCCAGGATTGGTTAGGAATAGGGGGCGGAGCCTAACATTCTAATAGAAGAAAAAAGTTGGGATTTGTCAATTGGGAGTTAGGTAGTCGGTTAGTGTTTATAGTTGGATAGTGCTAGATAGGAGAACTGGGTTAATCTTTTGTAGTATTCAAGGGCTAGAGGAATTAGAGGAATACTGACAGTGGGATCAGGACTTTGCTTATGGTCTGTTTCTTTTATTCCTGAAGAAGGCTAGGCCAAGATTGTTTGGCTATATTCCAGAAAGTGGGGATTTGGTTTGGAACTATCTTCAGCGATTAGTTTCCTGAGATAATCTCCTGTTTGTTAACTCTAGATTTGAACCCAGTACCCATCTAAGAATTGTACATGAAACATAACCAAAAGCTTTTGTGCCATTAACTTACAGAAACCATTACGCATTTGTACCAGAAGAGTTTAAGCCTGTTAAATAAACATTTTGTTATAGTTAACACTTTACAATAGCCTGTTTGTGAAAGTCATTGGTATTTAAACCCTCTGAAGAAAATAAACACTATCGTAACACAGAAGGGTGTTACTAAGTATCCTCTCCACATATATAATTCAGCCTGAATACTAAACAATAAGGTAGCAGCATACCCAATTGAAGAAGCCTTTAAAAAACCTCTCAGTTCAGATGTCATTCAAATATATCTATACACAGTTATATCTTTCCCTGTTTTATCAGTTTCCCTCCGGTGATATTCCTTGTAATTGGTGGCACAGCGGTGATATCCTTAGTGCGAAGTTTCTCATAATTGCTGGTAGCTTGTGGGATTCACTATTTTCAGAATTCCCTGTTCCTTCTCCCTGCTAAAAGAAGCTCTTTGGTGAGAGGCTTTGTTATACCTGGCAATCTAAACAGGCATTCTATACCACATATTTACCATCATAGCTGTGTATATACCATATAGCTTAGTATTTACCAAGTGTATTTACCAAAAGTATATACCTCATAGTCTTCATAGCTTGTAGTATACCATCAGCATAGTTAGTACACAGACCATCATAGCTGTGCATATAGCCTTTATACTTACTCTTATTTGCCTATTACAAACCTATACAGTTCATGCCTACCATTTCCTCATACATTCACAGACATACATAATATTAGAGAACTGGTACAAACACTTTAATGACTACGGATAATTATAGCAATTAAAATGCTATCAATGTTTTCTCACCTATATTTTTAAATTTTAAAGATCTTACCATTACAGAATTTCTGCTCATAGGGGATGCCATCTTTGGGATCCATACCCTAATAGAGGAAAAGACGAAATTATCTCGTGTCTCTGAAACCTCTGATAACATGAATTAATTCACGCATTTTCTATTTTCTTTTGGTTATTATATAAGCACAGAGGCGACCCTAGATAATTTTCAACAGTCAGCAAACAGTATTTTGGCACCCTCCCCACCACCAATCACTGATATATATTTTCTGTTTGTCGTGGGAGATCTATGTGCCATATTTGGTTCAATTCCATCATTGGCGGAGTTCAGAATGCTCTTTGATTGGAGGTGAACTATACATCCCAGTAACTACAGCTCACATATATCAAGATCTATTTCCCCCCAAGAGCACTTCAAGAGCACCCCTGGGCAAAATCAACTATACTGCAAATGCTTACTTTGTGTAATGGGTTGAGCTGCCCCTGTATAAGCAATACACCATTACCAACAAAAGATATCCAGTCTCATCTTCTAGACCAGTTAGGCTCCAGCAGAATACATTTTAGACACAAACATGCTGATGAGGATCTTTGCATGGTGTAAGGAATGAAATTTCTCTAAACTGGTGTCTTAGAATGTGTGGTAAAACGATTCTGTTTTTCCCCTATCTTTGGGGATTATCACCCATCACATCTAAAGGTCTTATGGGGCTCCGGGCTGTGCTCTCTGACCTAAACTGTATCTAAGGACTAGTTTTAATAACAAGGATAAAATT